TCCACAGTCCATCATGATCCATGGTGCCCATCTTCCACAGTCCAACATGATCCATGGTGCCCATCTTCCACAGTCCAACATGATCCATGGTGCCCATCTTCCAGTCCAACATGATCCATGGTGCTCAACAAGTGCATGGTCCATCATGATCCATGGTGCCCATCTTCCACAGTCCAACATGATCCATGGTGGCCATCTTCCACAGTCCAACATGATCCATGGTGCCCATCTTCCACAGTCTAACATGATCCATGGTGCCCATCTTCCACAGTCCAACATGATCCATGGTGCCCATCTTCCACAGTCCAACATGATCCATGGTGCCCATCTTCCACAGTCCAACATGATCCATGTTGCCCATCTTCCACAGTCCAACATGATCCATGTTGCCCATCTTCCACAGTCCATTATGATCCATGGTGCCCATCTTCCACAGTCCAGAATATGATCCATGGTGCCCATCTTCCACAGTCCATCATGATCCATGGTGCCCAACTGGTGCATGGTCCAGTTATCTGCTGTATCTTATAAAAGATTTTTCTGCATTTCTTGTCCTCAATTTGTTTCCCCCCAAGTCAAGTAAGAGGGAAACATGAGTGGAAGCCTCTTAATAATATCTTTCTGCCTAAGCGAAGGAATCCTGGATAAAAATTCAAAAATGGTTGGAGGAAATAACGGAACAAAAAATTGATATGAAGCCAGAACTGTTCTTTCTAGGAATAATAAAAGGAAATATAAGTAAAGAAATTCAATGTGTTATACTTCACATAATTATTGCAGCCAGAATTACATTTTGCCCAAAATTGGAAACCAAAAAAAGGCCCCTTCAAATGCAGAAATCGTTAAAAAAAGATGCTAGAAATGGATAAATTAACAATGGAACTAAGGGACAGAGAGGAAATTGAGTATTGCACGACATGCAATAGGTGGGTATAATTGGCTTGGAAAGAGATGTAAAATTAACGCATAATGAATACATGGAAAATATAACAAAAGGAGATGGTATATATTCAGAAAGTAGCAGAGGTGGTAAATATTGTATGTATTGTAAAAAGGAGTAATCATGGAACAAGGAGATATAGGTATAAAACCATGGATCATAGAATGGAAAATCCGAAATTGGAAAAAAAGAATACCGATAATGGAGAGGTGTAAAAGTGTAATTGTGATTTTAATGTTTAAAACATGCTGAATAAAAAATATTATTTTTTAAAAAATGTCTGTCTGTCTAACTAGTCACTGCTGACAGTGACTTGCTAATATGTGATCGATCCGAGGTGGAGGCACCTCCAATTGGAATCATTTGGGGCTGGAGGAAAAGGCATCAGTCTGTTTGTTTTGGGAAGTGAAGTGAAACAAAGGGAGCACAGATCCTGAATCCATTGTGAGCTCAGCAGCTTTGCGGAACAATGCCAGGTCAAAGAAGAAACTCCAGTTTTCTTTCTGATCACTTATCCAGCCAGGACAAAGGCTCCCATTGAAGTCTTCCAACTTCTGCAGTGGACAGAAGCAATTGGAGGAGGTTAGCTCTCCCCCACTGGCTCCGTATCTCCTGATTACAAGTCGTGGGGTGGGGGGGGATCCTGATTTAAATTTCACAGAGTTTCTGCTGCAATCTCCTTGCAAATGTTTTATTTGCATGTAAATGCATGCTTTCTGCATGCTGCAAAAGGCGTTTACTGCACGTTTGCAAAATGCGATCTAGTTTGTCATTTTAAAATTTCTCTGCTGCCCTTAAACATTTTGTTTTCTTAACTCCACTTTGGACCCGGAGCTTTTAAAGCTCGAAGCAACTCTTAGGGCACCCAGAAATTTCTTCTCTGGTGGAACCGCATCCCATCCGCTCTCTCCAGCTGTTCGAGAGCAGCCCGAATAAAATCCTGCTTCCCTTCTTCCCCTTCCCACAACCCAAGGGATTCAGGGTGGCACGTCACTCCCCCCCCCCACACGGGTCACCCCAATTATGTTCCGCGCTGGGAGATCTGGAGCTTGTTAAGTCGAATCAGATCACGCTGGCTGTCACTTTCTTTTCAGCTGGTGAAAAGCAGTGGAAAAAAAAACACATGAGCCAGAACTGGACTTTGTGGAGGGCCGAAGGGCTGGTTTTTCAATGAAAAATGAAGGAGCTCAGCGGCCTGGAGAGGGGAGCGGGAATGCGAACATGCCAACAAGCGAGCCGAGGTCATATTTTGGTTTCCGGCTGCTGCTCTGAAGTGGAAGCAGCTGGAACGAGGCTGGCAATGTTGCAAAGGGTTTCTTGTTCCCAGGCGAAGAAGCAGAAAAAACAAAACAAAATGGGGAAAAAAAATGACTGAGCGGGTCAATAAAAGTGGTGCCACTTTCCCATCTCCCTCTGCCCAGACAATCTGGGGGGCTTATTCGCCCAATACTTGGATGCTGAAATACTTGGACCTTGAAAAAAAAGAGCTGGAGAAAGCCGTAACTCTCCCTTCATTCACTATAT